AGGACTGCCTAGCTTGCCTAGTCTAGTCGCTGCACCGGCTCCGCCCCTGGCCTCCGCCACTGCTTCGCTGTCTTTCACTCTCGACTCCGGTGCTTCTGCCTGCTTCTTCCGCGACCGTTCCACGCTCACGCCGCTTGCTGCGCCTGCTGTTGTCTCTCTCGCTGACCCCTCTACGGGTCCTGTCGTCGCTCGCAGTTCTACGTCCCTTCCCTGTCCAGCAGTTCCCTCGGGCTCCCTTACAGGCCTCCACGTTCCCTCGTTCTCGAGGAACCTGGTTGGTGTCGGCTGTCTCCAGGACCTCGGCGTCACCACCACGTTCCCCGGGCACGAGCGGTTCGCTGTCTGTTCTGAGGCTGTCTCAGGTTCCCCCCTTGCTACGTTCCCCCGGGACCCGGTGTCCGGTCTGTTTACCCTAGACACCGCTTCCACCCCGGTTGGTGCGTCCTCCCAGGTCACTGCAGCTTGCTCGTGTCGGTCCCTCACTCACCCGTCCCTTCTCTGGCACCACCGGTTAGGTCACGCTGCTCTCCCGCGTCTGCGTTACATGTCCCAGCACGGTCTTGTCTTAGGTCTCCCCGCGTCGCTCCCTGCCCTTCCTCCCTCGACTGCGCCGCCGTGCACGCCTTGCGTCGAGGGTCGGCTCCGCCGTGCTCCTCACACCTCCTCGCTGCGCCCTGCTACTGCCCCCCTTCAGACCCTGCACCTGGACGTTTGGGGCCCTGCCCCTGCCCCGGACCGCGCGGTGAGTGCTACTTCCTTGTGCTTGTCGACGACTACACGCGCTACACCACGGTGTTTCCCCTGTAGCGGAAGGCCGACGTGCCCGACGTTCTTCTCCCGTGGGTTGTGGCTGCGCGTCTCCACCGCGGTCTCCCCGTGTTGTGTCTCCAATCTGACCGTGGCGGCGAGTTTGCCTCTGGTCGGCTTGGACAGTTCTGTCGTGCGGAGGGCATCACCGAGTCATACACCTTGCCGGACTCCCAACAGCAGAATGGGGTTGCTGAGCGCCGCATCGGCTTGGTCATGGAGGTCGCCCGTACCTCCATGATTCATGCCAATGCCCCTCATTTTCTGTGGCCGTTCGCTGTTCGCTACGCTGCTCACCAGCTTAACTTGTGGCCACGCTCCCAGCGACCGCAGGTTTCGCCGTCCCTCCTTTGGACCGGGTCCCCCGGTGACGCGTCTGCGTTCCACGTCTGGGGCTGCCTTGCTCACGTTCGTGCCTCTGGCACGGACAAGCTCACTGCCCGCACTGTCCCCTGTGTCTTCCTCGGTTTTCCCCTGGACTCGTCTGACTGGTTGTTCTACCACCCGCCGTCTCACCGCTTCCTCCACTCTCGTGACGTCACCTTTGACGAGACTGTCTCCTTCTACCGCCGCTTCCCTCACCGAGGTCTCCTGGTTGCCCCGCCCCTGTTCCTGGCTCCCTCTCCCTCGGTAGCCCCTGCTCCTCTCCCGCCTCGTCTTGCCCCGTCTGGTGTCTCTAACGTCACTCCCCTCCCGTCGGTTGTCCCTGTTGAGGAGTCTGCTGACTCTGGTGGTCCCCCCGACCCGTCCCTACCGCGTCCCCCTTCCCCGGTGTCTCCGCCTTCCCTGTCGCAGTCGCCGTCGCCGCCGCCGCCGTCGCAGTCGCAGTCACCGCAGCCGCCGCAGTCGCCGTAGCCGCCGCCGCCGCTGCCGCCGTTGGCCTCTGGGGGTGCTGGCGTTGAGGAGGGTGTTCGTCCTGCAGCTCCCGGGGGTGCCGCTGGAGTTGGAGGGGGTTCTTGCTCTGGGGGTGTTGGTTCTAGGGGTGCTGCTGTTGAGGGTTCCTTCGACGGTCGTCCTGCCTCTGCCGGTCTGAGGGTTCCGGCCCAGCTGTCGCGGCAACCGCAGCAGCCGTCGCCGCCGGTCTCCGCTCTCCGCCTGCTCGGCCTTCCCTCCCCGGACCGCGCGCCGGTGTCTCCCCCACCGCCTGCTGACCTTCCTGTCTACGGTCCTGTGTTTCCGCCGCCGGACTCGTCTCCGGCCCGTCTTCCTCCTCGTTCCCCTCCTGTATCCCCTCCGCTGTCCCCTGACCCTATACCTGCGTCTCACGTTTGGGCTCGCCGTCCCTCCCGTGCTCGTCCCGTCTCTCCTGTCCTGCCCACCCACCCTATGCTTCTCCGTTCCCGCTCGTCTCGTCCTCCCCTCCTCCCATCCCCTCCTCCCTCGTCCCTTGCTGTTGCACCTCCTCCGTTCTCTGACTACCTCTGTGTCGCTCCTCCCCTTGTCCCTCGGGTCCTTGCCTCTCTTGTTACCGACCCTGCTGTTCCTGTCTCGCGCCTTGACGCGCTTGTCGCTGCTGTCGCTGACTTCGTCTCTACCCGCCGCCTTGACTACGCTACCGCTCTGGTCTCTGGCCCTGCCCGTCCTCCGTCCGTCGGGGGTGCTCCTGCCCTTGGCAGTGACGTCCTAGAGGACAGGCAGTACGAGCTTGCTTTCCTTTCCGAGGCTGCTCCCCATCTCTGCTCCATGCTGTTAGTCCCTGAGGGTGACCCAGACGCCCTCGACATCCCGACCCCTCGCACCTACGCTGAGGCCACCTCGGGACCTTGGGCCTCTCAGTGGATAGCTGCCATGGAGCAGGAGATGGCATCTTGGAGGTCCATCGGCATTTACGTCGACGCAGTTCCCCCGCCTGGGGTGAACGTAGTCGATGGTCGGTGGCTCTTTAAGGTGAAGCGCCCCCCTGGAGAGCCGCCTGTCTTCAAGGCGCGCTACGTGGCCAGAGGTTTCAGTCAGCGAGAGGGGGTTGCCTTCTTCCAGACCTTCGCCCCGACCCCGAAGATGACCACTCTTCGGGCGCTGCTACACGTAGCAGCACAGCGCGACTACGAGCTTCACTCCCTTGACTTCTCTACTGCCTTTCTTCAGGGCAGCCTACAGGAGCAGGTCTACCTGCGCCGACCACAGGGCTTCACTGGTACCTTCCCCCCTGGGACCCAGTGGCTTCTCAGGCGCCCGGTCTACGGCCTGCGTCAGGCTCCCTGCGAGTGGCAGGACACGCTGCGGGCCACGTTATCAGACCTGCAGTTCTTTCCGTCCTCTACTGACCCCTCGATGTTTGTGCGTTCCGGCCAGACTCCGTTCTACATCCTTGTCTACGTAGACGATCAGGTCTTCGCTACTGCTGACAGGGATGCACTGACCTTGGAGAGCTGCGTCGCTATCTTGGCCTGCAGATCTCTAGGGACAGAGCAGCACGCACCATCACTCTGACACAGTCACACTTGGTGCGTCAGGTCCTTCAGAGGTTCGGTCTTCAGTTCTCCTCCTCACAGCCCACACCTCTACCTGTAGACCATGGGCTCTCCGCTCCCGTTCCTGAGGAGCCCGTAGAGCCCAATGGCCCCTACGCAGAGCTGGTGGGTTGCCTCATGTACCTGATGACTTGCACTCGCCCAGATCTCGCATACCCTCTCAGCATCCTGGCTCGCTTTGTGGCGCCAGGCAGATACCGACCACAGCACTGGTCTGCCGCTAAGAGGGTTTCGCGTTATCTAGCAAGTACATCGGGCATGGGGTTAGTGCTAGGAGGACGCAGGCCAGTGGTCCTTACTGGGCACACAGACGCTTCTTGGGCAGACGAGTCTGAGACGCTCAGGTCATCGCAGGGCTACTGTTTTAGCCTTGGTTCGGGTGCTATCTCTTGGAGATCCACTCCCTCGTCGTCTGTGGCTCAGTCTAGCTGTGAGGCTGAGATCTACGGTAGTGCCATGGCGGCACAGGAGCTCCGCTGGCTGACCTTCTTGCTCACAGACTTAGGTGAGCGGCCTAGCTCTGCCCCGGTCCTGTACGCTGACAACAGGGCCATGATACTCCTGTGCCAGGAGCCTCGGCTTGAGGGCAGAGCGAAGCATATGCATCTGCGGTACTTCCTCCTGCGCGAGCTACAGCAGCGCCGCCAGGCCCGCGTAGTTCACTTGGCCTCAGGTGCCAACACAGCTGATATCTTTACTAAGGCGCTTGCGCCTAAAGATCATCAGCGGCACTGTGTACAGCTTGGTCTTGTTCCTGTAGCTACTCACTTGTTAGGATCCTGATTGTGTACTCTCTATTACCGTAATCCCCCGTATATAAGACCCGCCGAAATAGTCAGCCCACGGGTGGCTTATGCGGGGGATAGCTTATGATATGACGCATTTTTTAGAGTACCCGCTTTTTTGGGTTTGCATTTTACATAACACCCTGCACGTTTTTCTTGCCTTTAAATAGTATTCTGTCCTGCATTACCAAGGTTCGCTCAGCTGCAAAAATACGAACATGATTAATATCGCGTCAGCTGCCATTCGCAGCGCAAAGACGGGCAGAAGAATCAATACAAGTGGCAACATGAAATCGAAAGACAAAAAGTGTCGAGAGGATCTCGACCGTCCATCTTGCTGTTGAACCACCTCGATCGCGTCAGCAATGGTTGTGACTCTATTCACAGCACTCTTACGAGATTGGTCAATGACACCTGGCACTGCTGCAGCATCAATCTCCCGCCGTTTTCAAAGGCACCAAACTGACCCTGTCAGAGTACGCACTCTGTAGCAGATTCCTCGTTAGCAGATGCTCGGTGAAGTTTTGGCCTCAGAGTGCGTGTTACAACCCAAATTCATTTTGCATTTTACATAAGACATGGGTGTTTTATTTTTCCAGCCTACTGTTAACACCCATACGTTTTTTTTAATGAAATTTTGACAATACCCTAGGGTGTTATATACGGGGGAATACGGTATATATGCCTGTCAGACTGGCCTTGTGGCCTTACCTCCAGTAGCTGGACTAGTAGTGCCGCCCTGGCTTGCTTTAGTTTTGTTTATATTCTTGCTGACTGGTCTCCAGACCCCTGCCTCAGTGGTTGGACTAGTAGTGCCACCCTGAGCTGTTTGCTTCTTGTTTAGTTTCACCCCTTGTCTAGCCTAGGGGGTGTGTCAACTTTTACATATTAGCTATGTAGAAGTTATAGGCTAGACTGAGGTATGCTTCTAGTGAGTACAACCAACTAGTATTTGTTCTAGGTTTCCACTTCTAGTCAATTATTCAGTTCTTACTTTAACAGACAGTCCCAGCGCACCCATCCAGCAGAGAACACACACTGCCCACCCCTCTGCTGCACCAAGCCCCCCTCCCCCCATGCGCCACAAGGAACCAGTTGCCAGTGCCAGATCGTACCTATCATGTCCCACAGACACTCCCATCCGTCCTGCTCTAAAAGGGTTCCCTATCTACTGGTAGGCTCTGGCACTCTCAGTAGCCCAATGCTGTCAGTTATGTCAGCGCGTGGGAAGGTGAAGAGAGGTGGGAGGTGAGAGGTGAGAGGTGAGAGGTGGGAGGTGAGAGGTGAGAGGTGAGAGGTGAGAGGTGAGAGGTGAGAGGTGAGAGGTGAGAGGTGAGAGGTGAGAGGTGAGAGGTGAGAGGTGAGAGGTGAGAGGTGAGAGGTGAGAGGTGAGAGGTGAGAGGTGAGAGGTGAGAGGTGAGAGGTGAGAGGTGAGAGGTGAGAGGTGAGAGGTGAGAGGTGAGAGGTGAGAGGTGAGACAGATGATACAAGCGGGGACAGTTGCAGCAGGTGCAGGTGGATCCACCATCCCAGCCCACACTATTGCTCCAGAGCCGCCCCCTTCAAGTGTTCTAGCCTCACGTGAGCCATTGCGTCCCATGCTACAAGGGCTGCAACGGGCGCAGGTACCGCAGCAGCATCTATCGTATCCACCCTTTGCTCTGCTACAGCCTACAGCAGCACCCCTCCCTCCATTCAGAAACCCCCACCTGCCTACAATTCGCCCCTTTGCCAAGCCACAGCTGCCCCTATTCCAAGCCAACCCCTGCATGCCTAGAGGCATCCTCAGAGGTGGCATCTGAGGTGCCCTCTCTCAGGTGTCTCCTCGGGCGTCCGTTGGCCTACAGGTATCCCCTGAGGTGGCATCTAAGGTGCCCTCTCAGGTGCCCTCTCAGGTGCCCTCTTCTCAGGTGCCCTCTCCGGTGCCCTCTCCGGTGCCCTCTCAGGTGCCCTCTCCGGTGCCCTCTCAGGTGCCCTCTCCGGTGCCCTCTCAGGTGCCCTCTCCGGTGCCCTCTCCGGTGCCCTCTCAGGTGCCCTCTTCTCAGGTGTCCCCTCGGACGTCCGTCAGCCTACAGGTGGCCCCTGAGGTGGCGTCTGAGGGCGGGGATGACGATGTGCGGAGCGGAGAGCTGTGGCAGGTGGCCGTGCGTGGGGAAGATCTCGACCACGCTGCGCCCGCCCAGATGCGCGTGCAGGTACTCCGCCACCGCCACTGGCACTGCCAGGTCCTGGCTCGACTGCAGGATGTGGCACGGCACCTTCACCTGAGGGGGTAGGGTGGAGGGTGCCGGGGAGAGGGGGGGACGGGGAGAGGGGAGGGAAGGCGGAACGGGAATAAGGTTGGGGAGGAGGCAAGGGAGGGAGGAACGCACGGGGAGAGCGAGGGAGGAGGATTTGGGTGGAGATATGCGGTGCTAGGGCCACTGGTGGCTGGGGTGTATGCGGTGTGCAGGTACTCCGCCACCGCCACTGGCACCACCAGGTCCTGGCTAGACTGCAGGATGTGGCATGGCACCTTCACCTGAAGGGGGGGGGGGGGAGCAGATGGATGGGGGATGGGCGGGGGTGTGAAAGGGAAGGGGGAGGGGGGAAGATCGAGGACGGAAGGGATGCAGGGGGAAAGGGCGGGAGGAGGGTGTGGGTGGAGATTGGTGGTGGTAATGCCACTGGTGGCTGGGCCGCATGCTACGCGCAGGTACTCCACAAACTTCATTGCCTCACACGCCTTTCCATCTCCTCCCACCTTCTCCCGATCCCCATTCCCCCACCCCACCTCTCCCCCTTCCGGCCCTACAAACTCACGAGAGTTATTTTCTGAGCTAGAAATGTTTTTTTCGAGAAGATTTTTTTCTCTAAATCAACAGTGTTCTACAGCCCGCTGCCACGTATGGCTAAAACCACCACCAAGTAGTGTTCTCTCTCCTTCTCCCACCCACCCTCTCCCCCCAGCCCCTGCTTCCTCCCCCCTCCCTCTCCCCCTCCCCCCGTGCTAGCCCCCTGAAACCATGCACCTGCGGCAGTATGGACCGCATATCCGACTGGAAGATGGTCTTAGACACAGAGAGCGCGATGTCAGGGCGGATGCAGAAGAAGGTGCGGCTGAACTCCTGCACCGCCGTGCTGTTGATGTCCGCACCCACGGCCAGCGGCGCAAAGCCCGACACCCACGCGCGGAAGTTGGAGTGCATGGCGGCGAACAGCTGGTTCAGATCCTCCTGCTCGAACCCGCCGAAATAATCCGCGTCGTTGAGATACCTGGTGAGGGGGAGACGGGAGAGGGGAGGGGGGGAGAGGTAAGGAGACACGGCGGTGGGGGCAGGAAGAGAGGGTAGTGGTTTGGGTGGGGGCCGGGGTAAAAACGTGGTGGGGCCAGGGTGGGGTTGGAAGGGAAGGGGGGTAGGGCAGGGGAGGGCAGGGGAACGGCAGCAAGGGGGCCCGACACCCACGTGCGGAAGTTGGAGTGCATGGCGGCGAACAGCTGGTTCAGATCCTCCTGCTCGAACTCGCCATTCGGGTACCTGGTGGGAGTGGAGGGATGGGGGGGGGAAAGGGGGGGCGGAGGGAAAGAGGGAGGGAGTTGTAGGCGGAAGAATAAGGGGGAGCAGGGAGACAGGGTGTGCGGGGGGACCGGAGTTAGTGGGTGAGTAGTCCGCGTCGTTCAGGTACCAAGGGGGGAGGGGAGGTTAGTGGTTGAGTAGTCCGCGTCGTTCAGGTACCAAGGGGGGAGGGGGGGTTGGTGGGTGGGGGGGTGCGGAAGGGGAAAAGATGGTGGGTAGGTTGGGGGGGGGTAGGCAGGGATGGGAGGAAAGCGGAACTCTGGGGCCTTGGAGGTGTGAAAGGGCTTTCAATACCATTGGAGGACAGAGCAGAGGAGGAAGGGGTTGAGCAGGAGCGAAGGGAGGGTGTGATGGAGGGTGAAGGGGGAGAGGGCATGGAAGCTACGGCCCAATTGCGGCACATATTTCACGCACTTGGAGCGACCTAATCTACTTCTCTCTTCAGGCAATCCCCAGCCACGTCCTTCCTTCCGCCACCATTCCCCCACTCACTCATTCCTTCGCCCATCCCTCTCCCAACTCCCCTTCAGTTCCCCGCCCACCCTACTACAACCCCCCATCCCCACCCGCACCCTTTTTCCCCCTGCCCCATCCCCTTCCAACCCCCCCTCTCTCCCCCTTCCCCCGTCCCCCCCACCCCCTCACCTGGGCGACGCGCCAATCAGAATAATCTTCTTGAACACTTCCGGCCGTGCGATCGCCGCAATACATCCGATCATCCCCGAGACACTATGCCCCACGTACGTGCACTCCTGCACGCCGACCTCCTCCAGAATCGCCAGCAGGTCGTCCGCATACCCGTGCAGCGAGGAGTACCGCGCAAACGAGAAGTTGTCAGGGTTGGTCGACCCCGCGCCCATGAGATCGAAGAGCAGCAGCCGGTAGTCGTCGTCTAGCAGGTGCGGCACCACGTGCTGCCACACGGATTGGTCCGTGCCGAACCCGTGGCCGAGGACCACGAGCTCCGCCGCGGAGTCCGGCGACCCGATCAGCCGCACGTTGTGCTCGTCCAGGATCGACGCCGCCATGGCCGTGCTGCGATGAGACGAGACGCGCGCGGACGCGAGGGCTTTTCCTCTGCGGTGCGTTAACGGTTAGAGGGCGAGACGGCGAGACGGCGGGCGGGTGGAAGGTCCAGCGCGTGGGTGGGTGTTGGGCGCGTGGGTATCGGGGATACTATCTCCTAGTGAGGCGACGGCGGAAACACATGGTCGAGGAGGGTGTGGTACGACGCGGGCTTGTATGGAGGATGGAAGTTAAGGAGCCTGATAATTAGATCCGGGCACTCCGGAAACAGCGCGGAAATTCTCTTGAGACACCATGACTGTTAGGATCAGGTCAGGAGGAGGAAAGGTGGCAGCTGGACGAAGACGGCGCGGCGGCGAAGAACGGAAGAGAATTGCCCGCGGTTCGAAGAGACATGCGCGATTGGCGCTCCAGCTGTGATGCTCCCTCCCGCCCGTGGCGCATCGTAATTACCGAATCACACTGTGTGAGTAGGCTTTCATAGCCGATGTGGCTTAAACTTGCGCTGCGGGCGACTAACATGCACTCCGCCCGGAAACAGAGTGCACTGTAAAGCAGACGTGGCGTGACGCCCACCGGAAAGGAGACGGGAGGGCGAGCGTTCCCTCCTAACCGCATCAACCAGATGCGTAGATTCCGCAATACGCGGCGGTGCGGCCGCCACCTGTCTTCTGTGTGAAGGGTTGAGGTACACCCAAATATTCGTTTAAATTGCCTATATTAGAATCGTAAATTTGTTACACTCACCCCAAGTTTGGGCCAAGTTTGTAATGTCGCACGGAGGGCGAGTCCCCTCAAACAAGCTCCAAGGATGTAGGAAATTGCTACAAGTCGTATTCCCGAAGTGCAGACTCCAAGAATGTTGGAACGAGGCACTTCTCGAATAGGTCGGTACGCACCAGGCAAATTTGCATGTATCGTTTCTAAGAAGGTTGGAGCTCTGTCTTATGCGCAGCTGGCAGGGGCGGGGACGTTGTTATTAGCTGCGACAGCGTCCACGTAGGCATTTTGCAAGGTGTTCGCATGGTGTGTCGTCTCTGGGTTTCAAGCACGCTCGCTAAATTGGTTGTTGCTGTTGTTATATGATTCATACATAGCATTTCTGTAAGTCAATTATCGATCGATAGTGTCGAATCCTACTGTAGAAGAGAAGTCCGTATGATGACGTCAGCAAATAGCGCTCGTCACGAGGATACTCGTTTCAGTCACGCGAACAGTCGCGTCTCTTCAGTGTCATTTAGGGCGCATCGCGCGATAGTGTCGAACATGTACATTAGCGAACAGGTACTTCTATTACGTATAAAAGTAGCATGTCTTCATTGTTTAGTTAACTTGTTCTTCAGTAAATTCTGGTCAACACTTTACACAATTCTAAGACTTCCGCTGTCTTACTAGTCTACCATTCCAGCAAAGATCCTAGGTTAGCACTTGAGGTTTTCCAAGTATTCGTGTTTGCAGGTTCTATACTTAGTCTCCTGGACCACCTGTCAAATTATTACATGGTATGAGAGCTATTTGGAATGACTGGAACAACACAAGCACAATCTTCCGGATCTAATTCCGGAACTACCGGAGTACCTGTCTCCTCGACTGCCACTGGTCTTTCAGCCTCTGGACGGCTTCCACTGGCCTATGCGAACATTGGTATGCAGCAGCAACAGCAAAATCCTCCTTCTATTAGTACTCCAGGGATTTCATCGACTGCACCTGCAGCGCAACAACAGCAAACACAGGCAATAGCACAACAATTCTCAAGCCAGTCAGTATCATCAGCGTTTAGTGGAATGAGCCTTAACGGCTCAAGTTATATGCGTGGAGCTCCAGCTCCAAGTACCGGCTCATTTGCATTTGCACATTTTACGCAGCAGCCGCAGTCTTAGCAGCAACAGCCCTTTTACATCTTCGGGCGTTCACCTGCTCAGCAGCAACAATAGCAACAACAATAACAACAGCAACAGCAGCAACATCCACAGCAATTTCAGCAACAACAACAACCTCAACAACAGGGTATTGTTTTTCAGCCGCCGAATCTACTTAGCAGTACACAAATCAAGACCACTGTACGTTTTAACGGAGTTGATTTTTACTCCTGGAGCTTCGATTTTGAACTTTTGGCACAATCTGCCGGGCTATGGCCGTTCTTCACTGGCGAGTTTACATATCCAGTTACGGGAACACAACTGGAGCAGCAGAGTTTCTTGCACGCCTCTCTCGGGGCGTATACGGTTCGAAACTTATCGCCAAAAGAGCAGCTCGGCGTTTGATCTTTCCATTCCAGCTTTACGCCAGCTAAAAGGGCACGGAGACACTTAAAAGGGGTGTGTATGGCGCAGGATACAATCACAGTGAGTAAGATCCTTTCGCAGCTGACAAATGTGCAGATGATCATAAATGAGAATGTCATGGATCATGTCAATCGTGTACGCACACTACGAGATCAATTGGAGAAGAGTGATGGATACTTCCCTCGTGAGATGTATCTCACGGTACTTCTTGCTGGACTTGGTCCCGAGTGGCGATAGACGCGCGCCTTCTTGCACATGAACCCGAATCTCTCCGAAGTCGAGATTTCTTCGTATCTTCATGCAAAACAGCAAGATCTTGACCTGCAGTCACAACGTAACCAAAAGAAGGGGGTACACTTAAGTTTTTACTCAAACCCAGTGCCGCAACAACGACTTCCCCCAAAATATCCCTTATGTCATTTTTGCAAGAAACCATGACACACTTACCAGACTTGTCGCAGTCAACATCAAAACCGTCGCAGTTCTTCACAACCATATCATCATTCGCAGCAGTTACCGAAGTCACATCAGCCAACGCAGCAGTCGATGTCCCAGACACAGCAGATGCAGACACCACCACAGAATATACCTCTCTCACAACACCGTCCTCCGGTCTTTCCATCTGCAACATCAGGAAAAGGAGTTTTCGGATGTGTTACGACAGTTGATGTTTCATATACCGATTTCGAGACACAACTTGAAGAAACCACCAGTACGGAAGGCATTCCCTTACCACAAGTTTACGCTAACCTTGCTCGGGTCATTTCAGGACCCAATACTTGGTATCTCAACAGCTATTATGGTTGGCAAATGTGCTCCGCTGAAACAAGCTTCATCACCAATCAGCGTCCACTTCGTCGTCCGATACCTATCAAACGGACAAACCATCATGGCCAAATCCATCGTAAGTGTAATGCTCGAGTCCGTCGACACGGCATATTCCTTACATGTTACCAACGTCCTTATCGTCGTCGGCCTTGGTTTTAATCTCCTCTCCACAGCTCAGCTCCTGGCACACAAGATTTGCACACAAGGCAATTGTGATACAATGGATCAAGAGTTATGGCACAGTTTGACAAACACTTACCTTGGTCGCGCTGCCACTCAACATGGGGTATCCGTTCTTTAGTTGACGACACAGGGCACCTCTGGCGATTCTGAACGCATCCTCGCTCTCGGTCCCTGGGATCATCCCGACGACACCGATTATCAACAAGTTGATGCTGATTTTCGTGGAACTACCATACCCACGACTTCTTGAAACGCAGCTGCCGTTCTGACCGCTCTTGATACTTGGGAGTTCAACACCGCCGATGAAAGCGCCAACGCTTGGCGAACGTTTTATAACGCTCGTGCCGCTTTCCAAGGAACTCCAGCTCCATCTTGGGGAGAAATCAGTGGTCTTGCAGCTGATGAACTCGAAGTCGTCGAGGAAGTCGCGAAAACAGAAGACGTCGAGCAGCCGAGTCGCACAGTAGCTGTCGCAGGACCGTCTGCCATCACATCAACAGCCGCAACATCAGACGTTGCAATTGCAACTGCAGCAGAGCCGTCAAACATTCAGTTACCACTTACCCGTTTCGTGAAAGGGGAGATCGACATGTCTCCAGCTCTTTCTCCTTTCATAATTTCTTCGTTTTATACTAACGCCGATTTCTATCTGCGGTCAACATGACACAAAGCCACAGAGGACATTTGACATCAAAGGTTAGGACATCCATCGCAAGGGATTTTAAATCATTAAATTCGAGCAGCAGTTCTTGATAAAAACAGTCTTCTCTTACCTGACGGCACGGAGATGAAACCACAGTCTCGCCAAGCGGTTTGCATCACGTTTCCGATCGCCTATCTTACGCATGACCTGTTTCCGAGTCATTTTCCTGGCTCAATTCGTTATCGACTGATGCAGAAAGTTTACAGCGATATTCTCATCTTACCTGAAGCAGGACCTAAAGAGGAGCAGTATGTGATTACCTTTATCGAAGCATCTACTCGCTACGTTTGGACAGCAAACCTTCCTGCTCGTTATCTCACCCATTCGGTCTTCGTCGCATGGCTCGCTGTCGCTGAAAGAGAGTCTGGCGCGAAACTGCAAGAATTTCAGAGTGATGGCGCAGGGGAGTATAAAAGCAACACCTTCACAGACTACCTCCAAACCCTCGGCATCAAAAGGAAGCAGTCTCTGCCACATGCACACCAACAGATGGGGGTAGCAGAACGGATGAATCGAACTCTGCAAGAGAAGATGCGTGCTCTGCTGATGCATGCAACTCTTCCTCCTCGTTTTTGGCCATATGCGATGGACCATGCCGTGTTGTTACATAACCTGCTGTCATCAACATCACTGCCGGAATTTTCTTCTCCTCACCTGCAGTGGACACGTACAGTGGGAAGTACAAAACTCTTACGAGTTTTTGGGTGTGTCGTGCAGTATCGACCTCCTGCAGCACTTGGCAAATTTTCAAAGCGGGCAAAATAGGGGGTCCACCTCGGCATCGAAAAATAGTATTACGCATGGAAGATTTTGGATCTACGTTCAAACCAAATCATCCCTTCACGTGATTGTCTTTTCCATGAAAGACTCACCTTGCTTGTCTTTCGTGCCTACTAGGCAGCAGCTGCCAACCCCGCCAGGCTGTTCGAAGGCTCGTGTGCATTTGCAACCGACAAAGCAGAAGCTGCTGTACAAGACGAGGCAGATTCTGAAGCCTCTGAAGCTGCCGCCACAGACATTCCCGAACTTGTCACGTCGTCTGGCATCCCGGAGTTTATTCCCCTCGCTGATGCTGACCCGGATGACGTTCGCGAAGTACACCTCAGTTACGAACGCGATCGTCAACAACAGCCGATGCCCGTTGTCTCCAACGAAGCAGTTTGTGTTACACCTGACGAAATTGGGGAGGAAGAATGGTCAGAAGAAAATTTCTCAGGTGCAAACGGAGAACGTCCGCGTTTTACAGAAACTGGTTTGCATGTCCTCGGATTCGCTGTTGCAGTACAGTACAACGACAGTAAAATATCTGAACCGAAAACAGTTCGACAAGCTCTTACGAGTCCTCACTGAGAAAAATGGCGTGAAGCCATGGACAGAGAGCTAACATCTCATAAGAGTCGTGGTACATGGGAGCTGATACCGATACCAGAGGTAAAGGAAAGAAAGGTTCTTACCGGCAAGTGGGTCTTCTGTGTCAAGACAAATGCAGTTGGATCGTTTGAGAAATTCAAGGCGCGATGGGTCGTTTGCAGGTTCGAGCAGACTTTCGGTCTTGACTACGAACTCACCTTTGATCCCGTCGGTCGACATACGAGTGCTCGAATCC